AAGACTTCGTCAATGTTATAAACTTCCACTCATTAAGGAAGTAAAAAGGCAAACACAAGGGAGAACTGCTCTCAAAATGGATATCTAACAATAGACTTGTATCCAGATTTTATATAACTCTTGCACTTAGTAACAAAAATAGGGTAAAAAGTTTGAACAGGTATTTCACAAAAGATATGTTACTAATAAGCACATGAAAGGATGCTCAACACAATCAGCCAGCAGGGAAATACTTATTAAATCCACCTTACACACTCTAGATTGGCTAAAATTAAAAGGCTAACAATTCCAAGTGTGAGAATGATATGAAAATGTGAATTACCTGAAATTCTCATGCATTGCTAGTGGGAGTATACCACGCATACCTCATTTTTATTGCGCTACATTTTATTGCACTTAACAGATGTTGCCTTTTTTAAAAATTGAAAGCAAGATTCTCTACCAGCAAAAAACATAAAGCAAGTATCACAAAACTCGCTTTATTGTGGTGGTCTGGGACCGAACCCACTGTATCTCTGAGGTATGCTGGTAAAGTGTTTAGTATAACCGCCATGGGAAACATTTTGGCAGTTGCTTTGTAAATTTAAACATATACTTTATGATTCAGCAATTCCACTTGTAGCTATTTCAAGCAAAATAAAAACATCTGTCCACAAAAAGACATGAATGTTCATAGCAGCTTTATTCATAATAGCCCCAAACTAAATAAAACCCAAATGTCCAGCACTTGAATGGATAAACGAATTGTAGTTCATTCATACAATGGCATATAACCTCATCCATAAAAAGAATGTCTTAATGATAAACTCAGTAGCATGGATGAATTTCAAAAATATGCTGAGTGAATTAAGCCAACATAAAGGAATATACACTGTATGATGTTATATAGGCAAAACTAATCTAAGGTGTCATAGTCATCAGATTAGGGGTTGCCTGGGGCAGTGGGAAGGGTGACTGATTGCTTGTGGCCTGCAAGGGTCTTTCTTGGGTGGCAAAAATGTTCTCTATTTTGATTACGGAGATGGTTACATTTGTCAAAACTCATTGAGCTGTACATTCCATATGTGTGCATTTTATCATATATAGACTATGCTTTCACATAAGTTGATTTTAAAAAATCAATTCTAAGTGGATTGTCGATCTAAATGTGAAAGGTCAAATAATAAGCTCCTTAAAGATTTCTTAAACAGGATATAAAAAGCACTGACATTAAACTGCATTAAAACCTGAGACTCCTTGTCTTCAAAGAATACTATTAAAAGAGTGACAAAGGTAAGCTACTATGTGTGAGGGGAAAAATTTATATGCACGCACACACACACACATATATCTTGTGCAATAATCCTCCCTTATTTGTGGAAGATATGTTCTAAGACCCCCAGTAAATGCCTGAAACAGTAGATAGGACTGAACCCTATATATACTATGTTTTTTCCTAAAGTTTAACTTGTAAATTAGGCACAGTAAGAGTAATTATAACAATAAAATAAGAGTTACTTGAACATGAGCGCTGTGATACAACAGTCAATCTGATAACCAAGATGGCTACTCAGTGACTAACAGGTGGGGAATGTACCACATGGATTTGCTGGACAAAGGGATGATTCATGTCCTAGGGTGAGATGGAGGAGGACCGTGCAAGATTTCATCATGTGACTCAGAACCACACAAAATTTAAAACTTATGAATTGTTTATTTCTGGAACTTTCCATTAACTATTTTCAGATCATGACTGACTGCAGGTAAATGAAACTGCAGAAAGCGAAATCGCAGATAACGGAAGACTGCTTTATGTATATATATTTATACTTTTTTTTTGGAAAATTGCTTCAAATCCAAAAAAATATAAATAACTCCTACAAATTATTAGGGAAAAAACCCAAATACCTAAAAGAAAAAAGGGGGAACTATGTGAATGGGTACTTCACAAAAGAGGATTTCCAAATAGTAAACATACAAAATGCTGTTCTACATCTTTAGTCAGAAGAGAAAAGCAAATTGAAGTCATAATGCAGTACCAATATACACTCACTGGAATGCCTGAAAAAAACAAATAGTACTGAGTGTTGTTTAACAAGGCTGAGAGCAGCTGTCATTTTGCTAACTGCGGGGTAGGAGTGTAATTTGTACAACCAGTTCGGAAAACTATGGCAGTGTACCCATCCATACCTTTTGACTAAACAGTTTCTCTTCTAGAATATACTCCACAGACAGTATGTGTATCATGATACATATTCAAAGATGTTCATAGCAGTTTATGTATAAATAGCCAAAAATTAGCAACTACTCAAACTTCCATTAGCAATAGAATGGTTAAATTTTGTAGTCAAAAATGGAATACTGTAAAAATGAGAAAGAACAAACGGTTTATGTGGATGAATCTCACAGAGTTCAGTAAATGATACAAATATTATAATGCTAAAACTTGTTCTCTTTTATGCCACTCTACTTCTCTATCCTCTAAAAGTGAAATGCCCTTCAGTCAAGTTGTTGAACAAGAATTTCTCATATAAGATCATTAGAAAGCACTGATCTTTCATGTGGGTAGTCAGTATAGACTTCAGGTTTGCTTTCTCCCTGGCTATGTATGTATTTGCTTTTGTTCCTCTTGTGTTGTTTGACTTGGGCAGAGTTGGAAGTACCTTATTTCATTTGAATCTCTCCCTGACAGAACACTGTGTATGGTGTTCTTTAACTATTCATAACCTCTTACTAGACTCGATGTGTTAAGGACTAGTTCAGGCTTGCAGGAATCAGACCTATAGTAATTGGAAAGATAAGACTAAATATTGTTACTGTTTTGTTTTTTTAACCCTGTGGCAAGAGCCAATGAAAATATTTATTCTTTAGGTTTATTTTTGGCAAGTATGATTAAAACCCTGAAATTGCTTTGATATACATTATGTCATTTAAATCTCACTAAAACCCTGGGCAGTAAAGAGAATAAATGATCAGGAAATTCTTGATGTATTGTAAGTACACAGCAAGACATTAATACACTAATTAATTATCATTTACTTATAACAGTATCTGCAAAGTAATTAGCATTATTCCTGTTTTGTAGGTGAGCATTTGATGGTTCATTTGCCAAAGATCATATAGCTGATAAATAAGTGACAGGACCACTAGAACCCAGATTTAATTGCAAAGCCTATCTTATTTTCATGACATGCTACCTTCCCCAAATGAGGAGCATATGCCTCTGCCTTACATTTATTTGTAGGTCATATAATCTTGACCTATTCTTTGGACCACAGGATAATAGCATAAATTATAGGACTGTGAGAAGTCATTTTTTCTGTTGCTCCTGGCATAAAGACCTGTCTTGCCTAGCCAAACTTCTCTGGCCCTCTTTGGCCTACATCTCTGCTGTTCTCCTGGTCCAGTAAATTTATATCTGGTTTATGGGAATAAGAAAATTTTTAGGTTCAGCCTTTTTTGGCAAAGTGAATAAACCTTATTTTTTGATTGTGTATTATCTTAGTTTTTATGGTTTCACATTGCTCAAGAATGCAAAGCAGTTAAATCTTAGGCCATGAAGCATGTTTGGCAAGAGTCAAGTAAAAGACTCATTAAAAATTAAGAGGGCTTTATAGTAAATAAGGAAAATGTTACCAAAACTGCCATGTGATCTGTTTATTCTAACAGACCACTGAGTAAAAGATGTTTTTAAGTCTATAGTCACCTAAAACTCTGTCTTTGTGTGATTTGTATTTTTAGCTGAAAGAAGAAAAGCTACAAGAGGAGAAAACCTCTGAAGATCAAATCCACAAACTGTTACCAGAGGATACAGAAACCGGGAAAAGGAAAATGGATGAACAGAAAAAAAGAGATGAGCCACTAGTACTGAAAACAAATCTGGAGCGTGTAAGTAGATCACCTTTTTGATGGACATCTGCCTCAAAATCAGCCATTAGCCCAAGTGACATGGATCTGAAAAACCTATGTTGGCGAACTATGATATGAGACCAGTAACAGTCATTTGACTATGCAGCTGAAGAATAATGAGGATCTTAGTGTCCAGATGAGAGCTGGAGAAAATAATTTACAAAAGGGACAATGAGGCTTATGTGGAAAGAGTAAGAGTAAGGGGAAAAGGTGAGAGGAGAAACCTGGTATAGTCTACTACTTGTGGTAAGTTTTATATGTATATTGTCATTTTGACTTAATGTGTTGTCATTTGACATTTGAATTTTGTATGTCTTATATCCTTTACTAGGTTTCCTTAAATCTTGTTTTACTTCCCTCTATTTTTTATCATGCCCTAAGCAGCGCAGTGCTAGACATAAGGTATTAGATTATATTATATTAGATACTTCATTTAAATTTAACCTAATTAGACTTCTATTTGGGCAAAATCTTGCCTGAATTTTCCCCACCCCCCCCAGCTTTATTGAAATACAATAGACAATTAGTTGCTCATATTTACATTGTACAATTCAATGAGTTTTTTTTTTTTCAATTATAGTTGGCATATAATACATATACCAGTTTCAGTTGTACAGCATAGCGATCGGAGATCCACATAACTTGCAAAGTGATCACCCCACTAAATATAGTACCCTTCTTCCCCTTTACATATTTATTACATTATTAACCATCTTCCCCATGCTACACTCTACATCTCCACGTCTATTCTGCAACTGTCCATTTGTTCCTCTTAATCTCTTT